GGATACATCAAGGAGTTTTTGGTGAATTTTTTCCAACACAGTTGGAGGTATGTGATGGCTTTATTTAGTTTTCTATTTCTATGTGACAAGTTATGACAAACTTAACTGCTTGAAACAATACCCATTTGTCTGCTGGCAGTTCCGTAGGCCCAAAGTCCTACCCAGTGAAGCTGGTGGAGGTTTGTGCTCGTGGTATTCTGGGTATCAGCCAGGTGGGGCTTTCATCTAGAAGCTCAAGGCAAGAATCCGCTTCCCAGCTTACTCAGGGTAAGTAGGAATCAGTTTCTTGCAGGTGTAAGACTGAGGCTCTGGTCCTTGCCGTCAACCTCACTTTCTAGATGCTCCCACTTTTTGTTACATAGCACCTCCATTGTCCTACAACAGAGCAGTGAGTTTTTCTTGCTCTTCAAATTTCTCTGACTTCTACTTCTGCTACCAGCCAGGTTAAACTCTCTGTTTACAGGGGGTGCCCCCCCAAAAAAGTATACACATTTTAAGAGATATGATCTATATATTATTTTTTGAAGTTGAATTAAATTACAGTAGCAATGTATAGTATGACATTCATACAACCATGCCTCTGCCATTTTCTTTGACTGTCCTGCCTGTCGCATGGTGACGCTGGCATTCATTGGATGAATGACATCTTTTGAGCAAACGTCATACTTCGAATGCGTATACTTCTTTTTTGCACCCCCTGTATAAGGGGCTCATGTGACTAACTTAGGCTACCTAAATTATCTTCTGGCCATATAAATACATAATCATGGGAGTGACATCTCATTATATTCACAGATTCCACCCACACTGGGGGGGGCGTAGTTACACAAGGGCAAAGGTCACTGGGGAGCATCCTTGGAATTCTGCCGGCCACAGTGGCATAATGGGGCATTGTTTACTCAGTGTTGCACATTGGCAATAAGACCATAACATAGGAGTCCTCCCTTATCTGAGGCTTTCCCTTCCACGATTTCAGTTACCCTTGGTCCTCCACAGTCTGGAATTACTAAATGGAAAATTACCAAACGATCCATAAGTTTGATAATTATCAAACGATCCATAAGTTTTCAACATGCCGTCACGATGCTTGCAACACCCACTTCCCTCTGTTGCATCACATAGGCATTTTATCACGTCACAACATCACCAGACGAAGGTACCATAGAATAAGGTATTTTGAGAACGAGATCACAGTTCTTATGATTTTTATTCCAGTACATTGCTATAATTATTCTATTATAATTATTACACTATATTATTATAATTATTCTATTTTATTACCAGCTATTGTTGTTAGTCTTTTACTTTGCCTAATTTATAAATTAAATGCTATAATAGATAAGTATTAGGAAGAAAACATAATATAGTATATATGGGGTTTAGTACTATCCATGTTTTAGACATCCATTGGGAATCTAGGAATGTATCCTCTGCAGATGAGGAGAGACAACAGTGGTCAAAGCAAGGGCTTAGGTCAGGCATCCTCAGGGTGAGTACCACTCTTGCGATGGCAAGATGATGGATGTTTGACAGGACTATTGTGCCATCATCATGCCTGATGTTCCCTTCTTCGGTTGCTGGCACTCTCACATTCCTGACCTTTTGTTAGTGGCTTTGCCAGCAATTCCGGTATTTCTCTTGACCATTATTATGATGTTACTTTTTGAAACCCTGCATCTTTTGCAAGACTTGCAGTTGAACGTCACCGTTGATTCGTGTTTGCTTTGTTGAATTCTGTGTGCTACTCCGGCAAGCAGTGAGAGATCAGTGGCTACAGATCTTTGTAGCTGAAGCAGCGAGGGGTGAGATATGCCCTCAGGGCCGTGCTCATTCAGTGGGGCCACTGAAATTGGGACTCAGGCTGGTTCTCAGAAAGTGATTCATTGTTATTTTGAGCAACTGTCCACTAATATCCATCATGCTCTGCACTCTGTGTAGAATGATCATCCTCGTGTGGTCTTCCTGATGGACTTCCATCCTTCTAGGACCAGCTCAAATGTCTCTTTCTTCAAATGTCTCTCTTCCCACCCAACTTTGGCCGAAGAGAGTCCCTCCTCCAGGCGCCCCTCTAACCCTTTGCCCAAACATCCTTAGCTGATGGCATCCCACAAATTAATGTGTGTCCCATCCCCCCGCCAACACGTGACCATCATGTCAAAGGGCGCGTGTCTTCATTATTTTGTACTGTGAGTATTTAGCTTAAATACTGACACATAGTCAACATGAAGTCAATGTTAATAGATTCCAGAGAAACGCTATACATTTAAGGTAGAACAGAGGGTCTACGCTGCACCCCAGGGCACTTCTGGCATTGTCTAAAGACATTTCTGGTTGTCACAACTGGTGGGGTGGGGATACTTTTGATCCTGTGAGTGAAGGCCAGGCATGCTGCTAAACATTCTGCAATGCACAGGACAGTCCCTTAACCCCCTACCAAAAACTCGATCCAGCCCATTTTTTTTTTTGAGTCAGGCTTTCACTCTGTTGCCCAGGCTGGAATGCAATGGCACAATCACAGCTCACCATAACCATGGGCTCAGGTGAGCCTTCTGCCTCAGCCTCCCAAGTAGCTGGTACTACAGGTGTGTGTCACCACACCTGGCTAATTTTTTTATTTATTGTAAAGACAAGGTCTTGCCACGTTGCTCAGGCTGGTCTTGAACTTCTGGGCTCAAGCAGTTCTCCCACTTCAGCCTCCCAAAGTGCTGGGATTACAAGCATGAGCCACCACGCCTGGCCCCAAAATATTAATGTTAAGGTTAAGAAAGCCAGAGTTATATAATAGAGAGAGAGAGAGATAGGCCTTGGATGGAAAGACAGAATGAAAAACAGTCAGAACTGTGGAATTCTTTGGTTTATTCAATCACAAAATTTTGGGAAGCCGGGAACATACTGGAAAGCTGAGAAGCGTGAAGGTCTGGCTAAAATGGTAGTGTTCATACACTCGCTGCTCACGGGCTCCCTGGCAATACGAACTCCAAATTATGACAAAACAGCAAGCGCAGTACACAGTCGTTAGAGGTGGGAGTATATTTGCTCTAGTTTCACAGGAGAGAAGGAGTTTGGGAAAAATGTTTGCCTCAGACAAGGAAAAAAAAAGTAGGAAAGAGAAGACTATGACCTGTCTTTAAAAAGGATAACTTGGACATATATGCTAGAGGGAGCATCTAGGTGTGGCTGATCTGCTGTTTCTCCTGCTGTCTCTAATCAAGATAGTGTGGGGCGATGGTTCTCAAAGCCTGGTCCCCAGAGCTGTGGCATCAGCACCACCTGGAAACTTGTTAGATGCGCAGAGTCTCATAACAAAAACATGGAGCCAACACTGCTGCCCATCAAAACTGGACTGGATAAAAAAGATGTGGTCCATATACCCAATGGAGTATTATGCAGCCATAAAGAACCATAAAGAACAAAATCGTGGACTTTGCAGCAAATTGGTTGGAGTTGGAGACCATCGTACTTAGCAATCTATCCCAGAAGCAAAGAACCGAATATTGAATGTTCTCACTCATAAGTGGGACCTGAACATTAATCACATCAGCACAAGGGGGCATTGGCAGTTGCTGGACACTGGGCGGGGGGGCAGGTAGCATCACAAACTTCAACTACACACAACCTGCTTGTGTAGTTAATCCTGACTTATACCCCACGTATCTACAATAAAATAAAATGAGATGAAATATTTTTTAAAATGTAAATTCTCAAGTTTCATTTCAGATCTACCAAATCAGAAACTCTTGGGGTGAAGCCCAGCAATGTGATGCATGCAGGTAATAAATAATTTAGTTGCCTATTAACTTTTCTCAACTGTTTCACGACTTGATGTCAGAGCCTGGAAGGAGTCCTGGGCAAAGGAAAAGTTCACTTTCTTGATTCTGGATGGCTGGAGTTTGAAATGATCTGAACTGTCACTTAGACTGTTTCCCTATAGATCTTATAGTCCTACAGTGCAGTAATACTCACCAAGAACTCTGCTGTCCTGTGCCACACATTGATCTATTTAATCCAGCAATGGTAGCACAGTAGATATTATCACTTCATTTTTAAAAGTGAACAAACATCCAACAGGGACTCAAGTATCTTGCCTGAGACCGTGCCAGTTGTAGTTGTGAAGGCAGAAAGAGAATCTAGGTCTACAAGGCCCATACGTCTACACTACACAACGGTGGGTTTCCAATGCCCAAGGCACGTCATGAAGCGATGATCAATTTCCTTTCATTACATTTCCTAGTGTCCTTTGCTGCAGTAAGAAAACCAGAGACACTACTGCCTTAGAGTATGCTGCAATATTAGGCTATATTTTTATAGCTTTTTGTTAGGAATTATATATTACATAAAACCTTGTATTAGGGGGTGAGTCTAGTTCCTAAGCCAGGAAACCTCATTTCTTTTTTATTTGAGAGTATTGGTAATATTGTGTGAGAGAGTATCTTGACTATTGGTTTTCAGAATAGCACAGAAACATACTAGAATAGATTTAACACGTCTGATTGTTTCTGTCTTTTAGTCTTTACAGAAGCTCAGCAAGTGAACCTGGAATATGTTCTGAAACATTTTTTAACGAAATTTTTTCGTTCTCAGTCCTAAAAATGAGTCCTATGAGAACCCTGTTCAACATTTAGTTCAACAAGGGAAAAGTTTTTTTTTTCCTGTAGAAATACAGGAAGTACAAGTACCTGATAGGATGGGAATACATTAAACCTGGAAAACAGACAGTGTGTGGATGATAGAGAAATATGACAAGACTTTGGGTTACTCCAGTTGGAAGGAACAAAAATAACAATATGGCCGAAGAAAAGAGTGGGCAAAGATTTGTGGTCTCATCCTTCTAAGAGAGTATCCGAGAACTGCCAACAGACACACCACAAAGAAAAGTCAACACATTCAAACTCCCTTTTCTTATCTGCCTGAAAGGCTCCAGAGTCAGCGCGCCAATTGTACAATGTGCTTTTGCAGAAGTGTACTCCGTGGGATATTATTTTTCTCGAGTTACTACATACCTGTTACTCGAAGTCTATCTGTTCCAACCACAACTTCCTTCTCATCCACAGTAAAGAGTGGCTTGCCATCTTTGGAGTTGATCTGAAACTGTTGACTCTGGGCTTCTACCATTTTGGGACCTGAAGGATTAGTTCAAACAGTTTATTATCTGTTTATTATAAAGTGTTTACTATAAGCAGCATCAACATTTCTATTTTTTTTGTTGTTTGTGTTTGCTTTTTTTAAGAGTTGGAGTCTCACTGTGTTGCCCAGGTGGAGTACAGTGGCACACTCATAGCCACTCCAGCGTCGACCTGCTGGGCCCTGGCAATCCTTCTACCTCGGCCTTCCAAGTAGCCAGAACTACTGGCTTGCGCTACCACACCTGGCTTATTTTTTATTTATTGTAGAGACAAGGAACATCTCCATTTTTACACATGCCATGTCACCCAGCAGTACCAAATACTTAAACATTTGGAACAATAGTTTTATTGCTTCTATGATTAAACTTTGCAAATTTTAAGCCTAAATCTATTGTATTATTCAAATTAATTTATGTCAAACATATATTAATCCATATCAAGTGTATGTGCAAATAATTATTTATGAGTTTATACTTGAAGATTTACAAAACTTGCCCCAAATAGTATAATACTCTTATTCATAATCAAACTTGTATTCTTTTGGTTATTAACCAGCTAAAGATTTTGCATTTCAAAATGTGAGATTTGTGAAGGATTATCTTACAAATAGCCCTCTTTTTCTTCTCCTCTCTTCCCTTCCCTTCCCTTTGAGTCAGTATCTCACTCTGTCGCCCAGGCTGGGATACAGTGACATGCTCACAGATACCACAGCCCCAACCTGCTGGGCTCAGGCGATCCTTCTGCCTCAGCCTCCAGAGTAGCTGGACCCACAGGCGTGTGCCACCATGCCCGGCTAATTTTTTGATTTATTGTAGAGATGGTCTCGCCAAGTTACCCAGGCGGGTCTCGAACCTGTGAACTCAGGCAATCCTCTCGCCTCTGCCTCCCAAAGTGCTGTGATTACAGTCGTGAGCCACCGCCCCTAGCTTAAATAGCTCACTTTAGTGGTCCACGTTAATCCAGAAACTGAATCCTATTTTGAATCTCTTCTCTGCCGCAATTCCTAGGAAACATCCTCACCTCTTCCTCCATAGGGAAAGCAGACCCCACTGTGGGAGAACACCCTCACGTGTTTACCCCTTACTTTCCCCTAAGAATTCTTGTCTTCATCATGTGATCTTTCCTTCTACTTGCCTCCATGCTTAATCCCTTCTCTTGAGCTCTGGAACCACCCTCTCCAGTTCATTAATGTATTCAGTAAGTGTTTAATGGGTGCCTACTCTGTGCCAGGTCCTGGAACCCTGTGCCCTGTGGGGCTGCAAGATCGTGTTCAATGTCTTCTTCTCTTATACACTCAGTTGTGAACATACCCCAGGTATTCATCACGCGGGCCTCCTAATTTCTCTTTGTTTTTCCGATCCCTCTAATCTGGACAGCTTCACAGATGATTCTCTTTAGAGCACAGCTTTCACCATCTGCTTAAGAAGCTATAAGAATTCCCTAACTTGTTTATGTTAGCTTTGTATTCTTATCTATAGAAGTAAGTTAATTGAGAAAATAAGTCATATATTATGACTTTTGTGTGTGTTTCTGTCCCCCTCATAGTACTCGTCAAAATTGTTGGGTACCTGATAGAAATGAAATAAAAATTTTCACTTAGCAGCTCATTGATCAGTTTGGAACACGGTCACCAAAGTATTCTTACATACTTGTATTAATTTATACTTTGAAACCCTCCAATGAGTCTTCATTTAAATAAATTCTTTTGATGAGAGTGACAGTTATAAAATGAATTTCGCTTTTCACTCTATGTCTTTTTTGTGTGTGTTTTTAAAAAAGTCCCACTACTTTTTGATAATTTAATGTTATTTTTCCTCTATGAGACTTAGGGTCTCTATCTCTTTTGGGTCACTGATAATCTTTATGTATTTATTATATAAACACCGATTTGCATTTAATGGTGAATACGAAGTTATCTGACTTTAAAATTGAGACCAAAAAAAAAAAAAAACCCAAAACAAACCAGAATCATTTCTCTGGAGACAGTTCACTGTCTTCCTCATTGCAGGTTCATATAACAGTCCCAGGAGTCTGTATTGAGTACACATGATGACGCTGACAATTTTTTTTCTGTAGCTATGATTTAATATACACTGAAAAAATATTCAACAAATGAGTTTACCTACATAGGACGTAGGAGTTGCAAAGCCATATAACCTTTACCCAAACCAAAGAAAATGCAGGAAAGTAAGTCTATTTTATTCAACACAAATGGACAGATCCCTGCTAAGAATATTCAGGGGGGATCTCCCTCTGAATATATACAGGGGATATACAGGGGGTGCCACAAAATGTATATCGATTTCAAGTATGACGTTCGCTCAAAAGATGGCATTTATCCAATGAATGCTAGCATCACCCTGCGACAAAGCAGGACAGTCATTGAAAATGGTAGAAACGGGGTTGAATGAACATCATACTGCACATTGCTACCATAATAAAATTCAACTTCGACAATCAAAATTCAAATTCAACAATCTCTTAAAGTGTGCATACATCTTTTTGGTACCCCCTGTATACACGTGTGAGATGTAGACCACAGCTTGGAGGAATGTGTGGTCTCCTAAACATAAAAGCAGACAAGCCTGGTGTCGGGGCAGCATAATGAACCCAGGGCTGCCAGCCTGAGAGAGTCCTGACGAATCCACAGCCTGTGCCAAAGTCAGGAGTGGCATCCTGGGAAGACAATGTCTGAGGTGACCTTGAGGCTTCCAGGGAAGGGAGGACTAGGTGCTCCAGGTGAGAGGAACTCCTGAGTGAAGGCATGAGGGAGAAACTCCCATCTCTGTTTTATTTTTTTTAAATGCAGACCCTGAATGTTTAAATTTAAACATGCCTTCCACTGCAGAGGAGGTTGTGCTGTTCTCTGGGTGATAACAAGCCCATAATTGCAGAGTTTGTAATTAATCTTTTAACTTTTATTAATATTCTACCAGGTTTTATAACCTAGCTGGACGCTGATTAAAACTGAGGAAGTAATCATCTTTTGCAGTAAGATCTTTAAGAAATAAAATTCAAATTCTACCTTGTTGATAAGGAAAGTGCTATTTGTACAATACGGTTTTTAATGAAAGGCTTTGGCACAAAGAAAAAACATTAATGGTTTTGTGATCTGATTAATTAAGTTTGTGAAATTAGCTTCGGGGTTTTTCTAGTGAAAATACCATCAAATTCTTCCTTGCATACAATACATCACATGAGCAACTGTTTCCCCCCCCCTTGTGATATCTTTAATTTGAAATTACATCATTTAAAAACAAGTATCAAAAGGACCTTTAAAAAAAGGAAACGCACCAGGCACAGTGGCTCACGCCTGTAACCCCAGCAATTGGGAGACCAAGGTGAGAGGATTGCCTGGGCAACTCAATGAGAACAGCCTGGGCAACTCAGCGAGACCTCGTCTCTGCAAAAAAAGTAAAAAATTAGCCAGGCATGGTGGTGCACACCTGTAGTCCTAGCTACTTGGGAGGCTGAGGTGGAAGGATCACCTGAGCCCAGCAGGTCGAGGCTGCAGTGGCTGTGACTGTGCCACCGCACTCCAGCCTGGGCAACAGAGTGAGATTCTGACTCCAATAGATAAATAAATACATAAAAAATAAAAAGAAAGAAAAACAAAAAAAGAAAAGGAAGCGTATATCCCGCTACTGCAAATGTGGTATCACAGAGAAAGCACTGGACTGGAAGAACAAAAATACGGTTCAGCTGGTTCTACTGCTTTTTTTGGTGCAATCTTGTACGGTCTAGTTCTACATTTTTGTACAATAATATTTTGATTTTTTTTAATAGAGATGACGTCGCACTATGTTGCTCAGGCTGGTCTTGAAACCCCCGGGCTCAAGCAATCCTCTCACCTCAGCTTCCCAAAGTGCTGGAATTACAAGTGTGAGTCACTGCACCTGGCTGAGTTCTACTTTTTAAGCCTGGCATTAAGGACACTTACCTGTGTCAAAAAAAAATAAAACAGAGACCAAGCTTGAGAATTCCCTGAGCAGGAAAAGTTAGTTATGCTTCGCCAGTGAAACTCATGTTGTTGCAGCAAAAGCTTCTGATGATCAGAGATGAAACTGAAGTCACCTCCCCAAAATGGTGTGAGATGATCACTCTTCACCAATCCTTTGCTTTCTGGAAACCCCTCGTTGTAGTAACCAGTCACTGTAAAAGGTTACACAACTTCCTCATTTCTGCTTTGTGAGTATAAGCCGTGCCTCTGAGCTTCCTCTTACCACTTCTGGTTTGAGGTCTGGTTTGAGAACTTATATTTATTTGTTGATTTTTGTACACACAAAAAATTTTAACTTGATTTACTGTTGACACCTGTGTCACCTGACTCGGTTCTTTAGGCCAATGTGTCCCATCCAGACACCAAGAGTTCATGGACCTACAACAACCAGGCAAGGGCCCACTGCTGTCCACAGACCCCGCCGGGAAGGAATCTCCCTTTTTAAAAAAATCCCCCTGAGCCCGCGGGTTCGAGACCCGCCTGGGCAGCGAGACCTCATCTCTACAATAAATCAAAAAATCAGCCGGGCGTGGTAGCGCATGCCTGTAATTCCGGCTGCTGGGAAGGCTGAGGTGGAAGGATCGCCAGAGTCCAGCAGGTCGAGGCTGCGGTGGCCGGGGGAGCAGCTGCTGCACTCCAGTCTGGGCGACAGGGTGAGACTCCAACTCAAAAAAAAAAAAATCCCTGGCCTGTTTGGTAGAAGCCCTGCCATCTGTCTTGGCTGCTAAACCTTGACTCTGTGTCCCATTCGCAATCCCCTCCAGACCAAAAGTCCTGTAAGGTCATGGCTCCCCCTTGGACTTGAACTTCTTTCTAATTACGATCACCCTGGGCAGGCCTCGCGCCCCATCTCAGCTCTTGTGGCCTCATTCTACGTTCAGGCTGGTTACGTCTCATCCTAGATAGGCTTTTTTTTTTTTTGATTTGGAGTCTCACTCTGTCACCCAGACTGGAGTGCAGCGGCCGCTCCTGGCCACCGCAGCCTCGACCTGCTGGGCTCCGGCGATCCTTCCGCCTCAGCCTTCCGAGTAGCTGGAATTACAGGCGCACGCTACCATACCTGGCTGATTTTTTGATTTATTGTAGAGATGAGTTCTCGCCAAGTTGCCCCGGTGGGTCTCGAACCCGCGGGCTCAGGCAATCCACTCACCTCAGCCCCCCAAAGGCGCGGGATTACAGGCTGAGCCACCGAGCCCGGCTCTTAGACAGCCTTATATTCACTCTTTCATTCATTTATTCAACAAACAGTTATTGAAAAACTTACTAAACATAGGAGGGTAGCCTGAATTAAGAATTGTAGGTTCAAGCGCTGTGGCTCATGCCTGTAATCCCAGCACTTTTAGAGGCTGAGGCAGGAGGATTATTTGAACCCAGGAGTTCAAGCCCACCCTGGAAAACACAGTGAGACCTCGTCTCTATAGAAAATTTTTTTTTTTTTTGAGTTGGAGCCTCACTCTGTCGCCCAGACTGGAGTGCAGTGGCCGCTCCCGGCCACCGCAGCCTCGACCTGCTGGGCTCCGGCGATCCTTCCGCCTCAGCCTTCCGAGTAGCTGGAACTACAGGCGCGTGCTACCACGCCTGGCTGATTTTTTTGGTTTATTGTAGAGATGAGGTCTTGCCAAATTGCCCAGGTGGGTCTCGAACCCGCGGGCTCAGGCAATCCACCCACCTCAGTCTCCCAAGGCGCGGGATTACAGGCTGAGCCATTGAGCCCGGCTGTTTGAAACTTTAGCAGAAAAAACAGTGTAACTGTTTAGCACTAGTGATGGGTCCCATTTATGCATGGGGCTGTGATGAAGACAGACTCACCCACTTTTAATCTGCCAGTGACCTCCCCTTCGGAGTTGCGGGCATTCACTGTCACATTCTGAGTTGACTGCAGGAGCAGTGATGAGTCCTAGAAAGAGGTTTACAGAATGAGCAAAATACAGAGTGTTTGCAAAGATCACATCTTCATTTTTCATGCAAATTTAGGACTTGTGTAATATTACTTATTTATGGTCACAAATCCTGGGGTCCTGTAAATTTATAGCTAAAGTTATTTAAAAGTTCTGCATTAGGGCAAAACTCTCAGGTCCCCTCCCACTCTGGGAGCTTTTCTGTCCTCTCAATAAGTCTTGCTTTTAAAAAAAAAAGTCTCAAATTATATTATGTTAAGGGAGTAAATGTATCAACGTTTTTTCCCACATAAAATATAATAATTCAGCCAGGCTCGGTGGCTCAGCCTATAATCCCGTGCCTTTGGGAGGCTGAGGTGAGTGGATTGCTTGAGCCTGCGGGTTCGAGACCCGCCTGGGCAGCGAGACCTCATCTCTACAATAAATCAAAAAATCAGCCGGGCGTGGTAGCGCATGCCTGTAATTCCGGCTACTTGGAAGGCTGAGGCGGAAGGATTGCTGGAGCCCAGCGGGTCGAGGCCACGGTGACCAGGAGCGGCCACTGCACTCCAGTCTGGGCGACAGAGTGAGACTCCAACTCAAAATAATAATAATAATAATAATTCCATAGGTTTACAATGCTTGAAAGTCAGTTCTAATACAATCCAGTTTTTGTTAGTGACTTTTCTTTTCCAAGGAATTAAAGTTCCACCTTTTTGTTGTTGTTATTTATGCCCAGGACATTATATACTTTCCAGAAAATACATCAGAGAATGGTAAGCTTTTCTTTAAGAGTACCATGTGGCTCGGTGGTTCAGCCTGTAATCCCAACACTTTGGGAGGTCGAGGTGAGTGGATTGCCTGAGCCCGCGGGTTCGAGACCAGCCCGGGCAACTTGGTGAGACCTTGTCTCTACAATAAAATAAAAAATAGCCGGACATGGTAGTGCACGCCTATAGTTCCGGCTACTCAGAAGGCTGAGGTGGAAAGATCGCTGGAGCCCAGCAGGTTGACGCTGGAGTGGTTGTGAGCATGTGCACCTGCATTCCAGCCTAGGCGAAGGGGTGAGACTCTGACTCAATTAAAAAAAAAAAAAGTGTACCATATGACTTATTTTCAAAATACAAAGACTTCTTACAATTTCAAATAAACTTTTAACATTTTTTGGATGCCTACGGTTTTTGCACTTTTTGTTGAAGATTAAGTGGCTTTATGGGCATGTCAGTGCTTTCTGGGTTATTGTAATCCTGATGGGTGGTTTTGTTTTACAGAAGATGCTTGCTTTTATATAAACAATTTTCTCCAAAAGGAATGCAGTAATTTGGTGGTTGGATGCATGTGGGTTTATGGTTCACTCAGAGAAAACCAGATATCTTTCAAAGTGGTAGGGAATTATGTGATTTTCCAGAAGGAAAGAAATTTCAAGAGCCCTGGAGTGTTCTATCTAGGACAACAGAAATTCCCCAACTCGTTTTGTGCAAGCAGATAATCTATTAGAATCGTGTGCTTTAACTATGTCACCTTAATGCTTGTTCTCACATTGTGAGAAAACAAGAATAAGAGTCCACACTTCACCCGTAATTTTAGCACGGATCCCCTCATTGTCCCCTGCACTCTGGGAGGTAGGTCCAGTTATTCCTAACAGAGAGATGAGGAGATGGCGACCACAGCTCCCTGAGTGACAGTTCCACGAGGGAGCCAACTTCTGCCATTTGCCTGGGACACGAGGATGGGTCAGGGTCAGGGAGTCATCCGTTCCCAAGCACGGGCAAAGTCAGTCGTCCTGGGATTCACCTCTGGTTGTCTGACCCCAGGCGCTCTCTAACCCTGTCCTCTTTTTGCCTTTCACTGTAGGCATTGGAAACGCTAACTGCTTGCTTTCCCAGGCAAAGGGTGAAATGCCAACATGGAATTATTTGCTGGAATAATCTTAAGCTAAAGCGCAGCCATTTTAACACTGCCTAGTTCTGTCATGTTTCTCTAGCAGTTAACTTACCTTCTAATCACTAGCCAAGGACAGAACTGGTTTCTCAGAGGTAGCTACTGGTGTTTTACAACCCCACCCCAGCTTGTTTTGTATTAATTGGCTTTTTCATGACACAGACCCCATTATCTTGGCAGCAGTCATGTGATTAGCCCACCCATCTGCCTGCCATCCATCACTTGACATCAGTGTCTGTGCTTACCTGACCCCTTCACGTTGATGTGAAACAGACCATCATCCAATCACCTTAACAACCTGCCCCCATCAAAGGGAAGGTTTGAAAACATTCAGCCTCAAGCAGCCATTGGCCATTGCTTTGCTAAGCTCTGGTCTGGCCATATGGCTCTTTGTGCTATGGCCACCATGTTTTCCTAAACTTTGCACCCCCCCACCTTGAGGGGCTGAATCTCCTCTCTCTCTCTCTCTCTAATTTACTTTCTAAATGAACTATATTTTCCAACCTAACTTCTGTGCAATTCTTTGTGTCTTTCACGTGGCACTTGGATCACCGACCCCCTCTGGTCTGGCCTGCCATTTTGGAGTCCCTGCTGGGATTCTGACCTAACATTTTGGTGGTCCTGTCAAGATTATGACCCAACACCCAGCCCGTCTTACAGCCAGAGGTACCCAAGAGACACCGTTCTGGTCAAAGAGATGTAAGCCAAGATTGCTCGGGCAGGACTTGGGGTTTCTAGGCAAATTTTTGCTTTCCTGGTGAAAGGGACACATGTGTCAGCACTGGGCACTCCCCAGTCATGGGCCTTGGATGTGGCCTCGTAGTGGTCTAGTTACCAGGAAGGAAGAAGGGAAGATGGTAAGGACAGTGGTGTTGAGTGCTGAACCGACACTGCGGCTTTTGGGAGATCAAAAGCTCCTGTTAGTTTCTGCTTCTGCTTTCTGGGTATTCTGTGGCTCGTGGGGAAAAGTTCTTTTGACTGACTTAATGACCGGCCAGACACGGCTCTGTACCTATATTCACAGCACAATAATACACACATTTGCCATCCTACTTAACAAAAAATATCGTATAAAACTGCACTTGCCAACCTGCATTTTAAAAAATACCTTAAAACAATCAGCAGGTACATTAAAAAAACACAACTGTAATGCTTATTCTGAAGTACAATGGCACTGTTTCCATTTTCTAGATAAGTAAACAAAGGTGTACAGATTGTGAATGACTTTTCAGTTTTCCTAAGCAGCTAGTGATGTCCTTGTAGAAAAATCTCATGCCATTTAGAGAGTGACAGTAAGGCAGAAAGAGCACCTTTATTTTTGCAGTCATCTCCATTGAATTCTGAAGGTATTTATTTGATATAAATGCTGTATTGCTCAACACCGTATTTTGCCTTAGGGAGTAGGTAAGAGTTGCGGGACATGGTATCTTTTCTCAAAAGTGTGTGATGTACAAGGTCCGACAGTTAAGTTCATGAACCATCCTAGGAAAAGTGCTCCATACCTCATTGCTGACTATCATGGTGGTCACCTTCGAAGTCCTCCTCTTGGGAAGCTATGCACTGATGCCAGTGCCTAGTGCACCTATCAAATCAAAGCAGTTTGGAACTTTTTCTAAAATGGCCATCAGAGCTGTCGTCGTAGTCCCCTTGACCGTCCTGAATGTCAGCAATGTCTTCCTTTCAATATTTCCTTTATCTACAGGCAACAAAGAGTCACTGGGGGCCAGATCAGGTGAACAGGGAGGCTGTTCCAACACAGTTATTTGTACAGTGCTGCCAACATAAGTACATGGTGGCAGGTTCATGACTTAATGGTCAGACCTCAACAAATAATGACAACAGCTCTGATGGCCATTCCAGACAGAGTTCCAAAATTGCTTTGATGGGTGGACTAGGCACTGGTGTTGGTGTATAGCTACCCAAGGGGAGTACTTTGAGGGTGACTATAGTGATATTCAGCAATGAAGCGTGTAGTACTTTTTCTAGGATGCGTTTGCAGACTTAATTGTTGGACTTTGTATATAAGAAGCTATGAAACATATGTATAGCAAGGCTGTTAACAATATAAGGGTGGAATTGGTGGGGGACAAATATAGATCAAAACTGCAGTGAGTTCTCAATAATCTTCTAAGTGCACTTCAATTGCATATGCAATTAACTACTTACAGCTTGAACATAATATTGAAATGTTGGAGACTAATTTAATCGTTGAAGCAGTTTGATTATATTAAGAAGTATGTCAAACAGTATGTAGAATATTTATATTTGCTGGCAGAAAGTTATTCATAATATTTTTTTACCACTTTTTGAATGTCTGTGGAATACATAATGGCGTTCCCACTACTGTTTCTGGTGTTGGTAATTTGTGTTCTCTCTTTTTAATTTTTAAAAATATATTTATGTTTAGTTTAGAGTTGTGGGGGACAAGTGAGGGTTTGCAACATAATTACGCTGCATGCAGGTGAAGTTTGGGCTTCTAGCTGGCTCCCTCTCCCCTGGTAGTGAACCAGGTAGCTCTTGTGTTACTGCCTCCCTACTTCCCCTTCCACCACAATTGTTCACTCTACCCTTGTGCTAATGTGACTAGTGTTCAGAGCGCACTTATGAGTGCAAACATGCAGTATTCAGTTCTTTGTTTCTGTGATAGCTCATGTTATATGATGGTCTCCAGTTGCACCCATGTTGCTACAAAGACCTTGATTTTTTTCTTCTTTATGGCTGCATAATATTCTATCGTAGCCGGGCTCGGTGGCTCAGCCTGTAATCCCACACCTTTGGGAGGCTGAAGTGAGTGGATTGCCTGAGCCTGCGGGTTCGAGACCCACCTGGGCAACTTGGCGAGACCGCATCTCTACAATAAATCAAAAACTAGCCGGGTGTGGTAGTGCGTGCCTGTAGTTCCAGCTACTTGGAAGGCTGAGGCAGAAGGATCACTGGAGCCCGGCAGGTCAAGGCTGTGGTGGCCGGGAGTGGCCACTGCACTCCAGTCTGGGTGACAGAGTGAGACTCCAACTCAAAAAAAAAAAAAAATTCTATCGTGTATATGTACCACATTTTCTTTATCCAGTCCACTTTTTAT